TTTCTGCAGTCTCAAGCTCAGATCTGTGATCAGTCTGAAGGTGAGTGTTTGTGTTGTGTGTTTAATATGATCTTATTGATTTGTCCACGCTATTAGATCAGATGAGAACTGAAGCTGTATTGAGTGATGCTGAATAACAGCACTCTTATCATATGTTGAAGCTGAACGGATGAATGTTAATAGGTTAAATGTGTGTGTACTCTAAGAATCACAGTTGTGTGTTTGTTACAGACTCCTGTGGCTCCAACTCAGAGGAGAACCTGCTCTCACCGGTGAATGAGACTTATATGTTCATAATATAAATGATAAATTCACTATGATGCAGTGGTGATCGTATGTGTGTGTGTGTGTGTGCAGGAGTGTAACGCAGAGAAGGACATCAACAGATTGTCCACTTTTCCCTTTCCTCCCTGTGCAAACTCCATCCACCGCAGAGCAAAAGATGAGTAAGTCAAACATCTTTAACTCTCCATCACAAAACATTTGATCTGACCAATAAGAGTTCTGCTTAGAACTCAGAAAGTGAAACTAGAGAAGAGTTTTAAGATGCTCCACCAAAATCCACCATCACTTGGGAATCTTTAGGAAGTCTTTTGGAAAACATAAGAAACAAGTCGTCCTGGTGTGATGGAGTCTTTAAGAAAAAGACAAGTCAGCCTGGTGTGCAGGAGTCTTTAGGAAAGCATGAGAGTCATGTCAGCCCGGTGTTTTTTGGTAAGCATGAAAGGCAAGTTGTCTTAGTTAAAGTTGCAGGAGTCTTTCAGAAAGCATGAGAGATAAGTCAGTCTGCAGGAGTCTTTCAGAAAGCATGAGAGATAAGTCAGTCTGCAGGAGTCTTTCAGAAAGCTTCAGAGACAAGTCATCTCGGTGTGCAGGAGTCTTTCAGAAAGCTTCAGAGACAAGTCATCTCTGTGTGCAGGAGTCTTTCAGAAAGCTTCAGAGACAAGTCGTGCGGTGTACAGGAGTCTTTAGGTAAGCATGAGAGACAAGTTGTCCCGGTGTACAGGAGTCTTTCAGAAAGAATGAGAGACAAGTCGTGCGGTGTGCAGGAGTCTTTAGGAAAGAATGAGAGACAAGTCGTGCGGTGTGCAGGAGTCTTTCAGAAAGAATGAGAGACAAGTCGTGCGGTGTGCAGCAGTCTTTCAGAAAGGATGAGAGACAAGTCGTGCGGTGTGCAGCAGTCTTTCAGAAAGAATGAGAGACAAGTCGTGCGGTGTGCAGGAGTCTTTCAGAAAGAATGAGAGACAAGTCGTGCGGTGTGCAGCAGTCTTTCAGAAAGGATGAGAGACAAGTCGTGCGGTGTGCAGCAGTCTTTCAGAAAGAATGAGAGACAAGTCGTCCCGGTGTGCAGGAGTCTTTCAGAAAGAATGAGAGACAAGTTGTGCGGTGTGCAGGAGTCTTTCAGAAAGAATGAGAGACAAGTCGTCCCGGTGTGCAGGAGTCTTTCAGAAAGAATGAGAGACAAGTCGTGCAGTGTGCAGGAGTCTTTAGGAAAGAATGAGAGACAAGTCGTGCGGTGTGCAGGAGTCTTTCAGAAAGAATGAGAGACAAGTCGTGCGGTGTGCAGCAGTCTTTCAGAAAGGATGAGAGACAAGTCGTGCGGTGTGCAGCAGTCTTTCAGAAAGAATGAGAGACAAGTCGTGCGGTGTGCAGGAGTCTTTCAGAAAGAATGAGAGACAAGTCGTGCGGTGTGCAGGAGTCTTTCAGAGAGAATGAGAGACAAGTCGTCCCGGTGTGCAGGAGTCTTTCAGAAAGAATGAGAGACAAGTCGTCCCGGTGTGCAGGAGTCTTTAGGAAAGAATGAGAGATAAGTCGTCCCGGTGTGCAGGAGTCTTTCAGAAAGAATGAGAGACAAGTCGTCCCGGTGTGCAGGAGTCTTTCAGAAAGAATGAGAGATAAGTCGTCCCGGTGTGCAGGAGTCTTTAGGAAAGAATGAGAGACAAGTCGTCCCGGTGTGCAGGAGTCTTTAGGAAAGCATGAGAGACAAATTGTCCTGGTGTGCATGAGTCTTTCAGAAAGAATGAGAGACAAGTCGTCCCGGTGTGCAGGAGTCTTTCAGAAAGAATGAGAGACAAGTCGTCCCGGTGTGCAGGAGTCTTTAGGAAAGAATGAGAGACAAGTCGTCCCGGTGTGCAGGAGTCTTTAGGAAAGCATGAGAGACAAATTGTCCTGGTGTGCATGAGTCTTTCAGAAAGAATGAGAGACAAGTCGTGCGGTGTGCAGGAGTCTTTAGGAAAGAATGAGAGACAAGTCGTGCGGTGTGCAGGAGTCTTTAGGAAAGAATGAGAGACAAGTCGTCCCGGTGTGCAGGAGTCTTTCAGAAAGAATAAGAGACAAGTCGTGCGGTGTGCAGGAGTCTTTAGGAAAGAATGAGAGACAAATTGTCTTGGTGTGCAGGAGTCTTTCAGAAAGAATGAGAGACGAGTCTTCCCTGTGTGCAAGAGTCTTTAGGAAAGCATGAAAGACATGTCATCCCGGTGTGCAGGAGTCCTTCAGTAGGCATAAGAGACTAGTTATTCCAGTGAGCAAGAGTCTTTCAGAAAGCATGAGAGACGAGTTGTCCCGGTGTGCAGGAGTCTTTAGGAAAGCATAAGAGACAAGTCATCCCAGTGTGCAGGCGTCTTTAAGATGTTTTGTGATTCCAGGCTCTGATTCTCTTCTGTCCGTGTGTTTCTGCAGATTTGATCTGAACTCTTGGAGAAGTGATGAGAATGAGGCAAATGCAGGTGCGTGTTTTGTTTCTTCTTTGTTTTAGTTGCCTTCAGTTTGTGTTAAATAATACCGTGTAGCAAACATACACCTGTCCTAACATGTGTGGTAGGCAACAACAATAATATACAGTTGGAGACAATTACTAGAACACTTCAAAATGTTTTTTGATTTTTAGATCTATTACTAATATCTAGGCCCACACGGAATCTGCGCGCGCAGATTTCTGCAGATTTTTAGCCCATCATCATTTCAGTTTATTTTATGAGTAAATGTGTAAATCTGAATTTATTCAGTTTTTATTCAGTAATTTATTACTTTTTATTTCATATATTAAGGTGTTAGTTATCATACTCTGCTCGATACTCCCAAAATAATTCTGCAGAAATCCGCAGATTTTTACCAAACTTTTCCACAGAAATAGCAAAAACACGTCCGCAGATTCCGTCTGGCCCTGCTAATATCATTATTTTGTGTGTTTCTATACATTATTGTTATAAGCTTTTTGTGCATTCATCCTTGTATGTATTTTTTACTGCTGCACATTTATTTGTCTGTAAAGTGCCTTGAGATCGAGATCTTCACGGGACTGAAATTTTAATCTTGCTCCCGCCAGGTTTTATGCCACACACGACTGCTCCCGCCGTAGATTCAGCCTTTGTTCACCCGCTGTCCGACCCCCCATTTTCTTCCTACCCCGACTGTTCCTGCCAAATTTAGATCTGGTTTTCAAAACCTCACGTTAAAATTGCGCACTACAGAAAGAGAGAGATAACAGATAAAAGTGTAGGTTGTGCAAGGATTGTAGGCTAAATGTCAGTTTTGTTTGCCCCTTTATGATGAGACATAAGAGCCTTGTGAAGTGCGGTGAGGTTTGAGGATACTCCAAAGTCAGATTTGCTAACATATCCACTCAATATATTTGCCAACAACCTATTGTGTTGTGAAACCTCAAAAAATATATTTAGACCAAACCAATATTTGATATGTGGATCATGGAGTTGGGGAGGATTTTACATTTATAAAAAATGTGATTTATTTAGGAAAGGAAAGTGCGTCTTTTTGAGCATGTGGGAGTCATTTATTATATCGATTGGCAAATGTGCTGTGCTGTCGCCTCACAGCAAGAAGGTCGCTGGTTTGAGCCTCAGCTGGGTCAGTTGGCGTTTCTGTGTGGAGTTTGCATGTTCTCCCTGCCTTCGCGTGGGTTTCCTCCGGGTGCTTCGGTTTCCCCCACAGTCCAAAGACATGCGGTACAGGTCAATTGGGTAGGCTCAATTGTCCGTAGTGTATGAGTATGTAGGGATATTTCCTAGAGATGGGTTGCAAGTGGAAGGGCATCCGTTGTGTAAAACTGGATAAGTTGGTGGTTCATTCCGCTGTGGCGACCCCAGATTAATAAAGGGACTAAGCCAAAAGAAAATGAATGAATGAATGAATATTATACTCTACAAGCAATAAACAATTGTACTGTACAAAAATTGTGAAATCAAAAATTATTAAACAACAAACAAGTGTCATTTTAAAGGTCTTTTCTGAGGGGTGAGTTTTATGTTTCACCATAAACATTAGCTATGTTTCCATCCAAAGATGCAAATTAAGTTTATGTAAGTGTAAGTTCATCACATGATCACTGAACCTATAACAAAATCATGTGACCTTTTTTTAATGCACATACTGGAATTTGTTTGGTAAAATCGTTTCCATCATAGTTTACGCACATCTTTTCTTATCGAATAAAAGGTTTATCCTAAAGTTATCCAAATGCACGTAAAAATAGGTGGATATAAACGTAGCTAATGTCAGCAGTGAGACGTTTGGTTCATATGCATGTCCTCATGTATGTAGGAATGAGAGTAAAGCTGGTCGTGTCTTGACTTGTGTGTGTTGTAGAGGACACAGATTCTTATCGGATGAGTTCCTGGAGCTCTCTGCCGACTCAGCTCTTTCCTCCAGACGTCATCAATGTGACCCCGATGCTCCCTGTCAAACCCTCGTCCTCCTCTCCACGGTACGAGACCTTCATTTCAGCTTTTAGTCTCAATCTGGCCTGAATTATTGAAACCGCCTTTCCAATGCACACGGCAAGCAACAGACTGGAAGTCAATCATTTCCAATGGAGGGTAGTCTGGGAGTTGTATTGAGTTCTGATTATCTCTGCAAAATTTGGATCCGATTTGAACTGCAGATCCGTTGACATATTTGAACCATATGTGATCATGTGATGTGATGTATTCCAGTGTTGCCCAATCATGTCTGTGTGCGCGAGATCAGGTTTCTTAGTAGTTTTTTGTTATATTTTGTTAGTTTTTGAATCAAAAAAAGTCCATATTAAAAAATAACATATTTCTATTCATAAATGTGTATTAAAAATAGTATTTTTTTTAATGCTGTCTCCACATTCCCTCGAAAGTTTTGAATCGGATTATCAGACATGAGAATCAGCTTCTCCCACTTCTCTCCCATGGTGCATGACAAAATTGAAACTCTGTGCGACTGCCACAAGGGGGCGTATTCACACAATCTTGTCAGAATGTTGTGTGCAGTGGAAAGAGGCATTATACTGCAAAAAATGCTTTTCTTACTTAGATTTTTTGTCTTGTTTCGAGTCCAAACCTAAAAATTGGTATTGGTCTTGGTCTTGTTTTGAGAAATAATATGCCAATATTAAGTTAGTGATTCCTTAAAACAAGAAAAATAATCCGCCAATGGGGTAAACAATATAATCTTCCGTCAAAAGAAAAAACTAGATTATTTTGCTTACCCCATTGGCTAATTATTTTGCTTGTTTTAAGGAAAAACTAACTTACTATTGGCACATTATTTCTCAAAAAGAGACTAAGACTTGCACGTCTAGAAAATGCTTCTTGATATAAGAAATTTTAGATATTTAGACTACAAACAAGACAAAAAAATCTAAGCAAGAAAAGCATTTTTTGCAAAGTAGAAAAAAGTTCAGTTGCCATAATTCTGAGCAGTGAGTCAGAGCTCTTTATCTTCAGTATTACTCAGACAAAATAACATGCTATAAATCTTCTTATACTCTGTTGCTGTTGAATACTTGATTCTTATTGGCTGATGATCACTCTAAGGTGATTGGTTATTGTCAGCTAAAGTTGTTCCGGCAGGTTTTGAGTGCATTACAGCTCAGTATCACTCCACTGAATGATTAGAGTTATTACACAGCTACAGCAGTCGTAAAAAACACATCAGAACACAACAGAAGGCTTTGGAGGAGATGAACATTTTTAGGTGTTGTTTGATATCATTGATCCTGCTTTAGCCATGATATGGAAGTAAAATTCCTTCATTAGTACACCACACTAAAAGTATAGAAGATAGCAACTTTACATTTTTTAATCAGTTTTAGTACACAACGTATCTACAGAAGAGTCAAGCTTTAAATAGGAACATAATCAAAACTCTTTGGTCGTTTGTTGAGTGAGATGCTAATGGTCTAATCTGATTCAATGATCTATGCTAAGCTAAGCTAAGAGAGATCCTGGAGATCAACTGAATAGAGTTAAAAATGGTAAAACTCAACTGTTTAACTCAAGGAGAGCTGAAAAATGCAACATTATGAAGCTGCAGGGCCCGGAGACCAAACCGCACGCTCAAACCTGCTCGCTCAGACGGCTAGACCTGCACTTCCAGACATTCACAGTGCCACCTGCTGTTTGAAAGATCGACTAACCTGAATTCAGCTGCTTATAAATTGTAACTTGTAAACTATTTGTCTACTATAAAATATTACGCTATGATTGAACACATTATTATACAAAATATTAAACATACTAGATTTTGATTTGATGCATTAATTCTGTTGTATTTTTATTAATTGTATTTGTAAATAGATATTATTCAGTTACTTTAATATTTTCAGACATTTGTTGTTGTTTTTTTAAACCATTAAGGATTTATCACTGTTTCATAATGAGTTGAGGAAATGAATATTATCTTCATATACAATAAATTTCTTCACATACAATAATTTATAATATTAGGAGTAATTTAAAAAAAAAGTCATCAGGCTGTAAAAAATGCAGAGAAAAATGGTGAAAATAATAATTGGAGTATTGATTATTTTTTACGTAGAAAATAACATTAAATAAAATAAATGCTTTGCATTCTTGTTGGGGAGATTTTTCATTTCTCGAGCAAAAAACTGGAAATATCTGCAGCATTTGGTGCACTGCATTAGTGTTGGCCCCCCTTTTTGAATTGTAATAGCAATCTGGGAAAAAATACACAAGTCACAAGCTAATTATTTTTGCTTTAACCTAAGAGAGCTCATATTGTAAATTCTATTCAGAATAACTGATATTGTGATTTCCAAAAAAACGTATTTGTAATCATTACAGGACTTATTAATAATTGATAAACTGTTATTGTGTTACTGTTATTGTCTTGGGTAGCACTTTCAGATAGATAATACAGATGTACAGTAGACCTACATAGCACTAAAATATGTTACAAGCAATAATTGCATTATATATTATACATGTTATTTTAACATTTTTACTTTAAGGTTTTTTATTTCGCCTGAAAACATTGCTATAAAAGTGTCCCAAAATGGTGCAATAACACCGATAATAAGAGCAAGCTGTAAATACCATAAACTAATGCTATCTTTTGACATTAATTTTGATCAAATCGAACACTGAAATAATTGTTTTTAGTGTAATATTTTACGACACATTGATTTATGCCATAAAACTTGGTCATTTTCAGGAATCGCTTAAATAATCAATAACCTTATTCTGGCGTTTCTGATGTTGCTGCTTGCTAGAAAGTGCTGGTCTGAGCGTGCAGTTCGGTCTCCGTACCTGCTGCTTCCCCAGACCCAACAGCAGGTGGCACTGTCTGAGAAAACAATAGGTCTGGAAGTGCAGGTCTGTGCGCGCAGGTCTGAGCGTGCAGTTGGGTCTCCGGGCCTGCAGCTTCACCTTTCTCTTTTTTTTTTCAGATCAAGACCCTCAAAAAAGTTATATTTTTGCAAATGCAGTTAATCTATCTGCCTGAATCTTTTAAAATTATTTTGGAATTTTTAGATTTTATGCTGTGTTCACACCAGACATGTTCAATATTCGCGCGTCAATAGACGTGTGAACATTTTGAGTTTACTCGCTTCATTTGTGCTTAAAATTTATTTCACAATAGACGTGGATTTGCGTCATGGGCAGGGCTTCTTTCTGTCCTGTGACTGTAGCTTCATTTGCTAAATGGCTAACAGGGAATTTATTGACAAAATACCTGTTCATGTGCTTTAGGAAGGCTCATAAACAGCTTCGATTCATTTAGAGTCTTGGCTGATAGAGGTGTTAACCTATACTGGTCTCACAGTTTGGTTCGGTTACAATTATCATGCCATCGATTCAGTTCAATTCGATATCTCGGTGCATCACGGTACATTGACGGTGCTTTCCATACACAGTGTTGTATTTTGTGGGGAGGCTATAACAAGCTGTCTGTATAAACATACACACACACGCCAAGCGTGCTCACTCGGGAGTGATATTGTGAGACTGCCCACTGAGTATTAGTATTAGTATTGAGTATTAGTCGACTGTCTGCTTAATATCTGCGGATTCTGCTCCTTCAACAGACATTTAACTGACTATAAGAAACTTTTCAGGTACATGTCAACTTACACTAACCTAACAGTCTACTTTGTATGTAGATGCAATGCAACCTGAATTCAACAAACGGACCATCAAAATAAAGCGTAACCATAATTTTTCTGTTGTGTTTTCTTCTGTTGTGTTTTTCTCAGGTCAGTGTCGCTCTCCTCGTCCCCCAGAAGCCTCAGCCTGGCACAGGACATCACTATAGTTGGGGGAAACCGCAGCGGTGTGTTCGTGCAAACGGTGAAGAAGGGCTCCACCGCTGAGGCCTGCGGCCTGAGGGAGGGCACTGAACTGCTGGAGGTCAGACACCACAAACGAACTGCTTCATATTAGTAATCAAACAAGTTTTGGTGTATTTACAGAAGGAAATTTATAAAGTGTCTTCAAGGAACATAGTCTTTACTTAATATTAGAAAAGAAAAATAATATATATACAGTTGAAGTCAGAATTTTTCGCCCCCCCTTTGAATTTTTTCTTCTTTTTAACATATTTTCCAAATTATGTTGAACAGATTCAGGAAATTTTCACAGTATGTCTGATAATATTTTTTCTTCTGGTGAAAGTCTTATTTGTTTTATTTTTGCTAGAATAAAAGCAGTTTTTAATTTTTTGAACACCATTTTAGAGTCAAAATTATTAGCCCCTTTAAGCTATATTTGTTTTCAATAGTCTACAGAACAAACCATCGTTATACAATAACTTGCCTAATTACCCTAACCTGCCTAGTCAACCTAATTACCCTAGTGTAGCCTTTAAATGTCACTTTAAGCTGTATAGAAGTGTCTTGAAGAATATCTAGTCTAATATTATTTACTGTCATCATGTCAAAGAGAAAATAAATCAGTTATTAGAGATGAGTTATTAAAACTATTATGTTTAGAAATGTGTTGAAAACATCTTCTCTCCGTTAAACAGAAATTGATGAAAAAATAAACAAGCAGTCTAATAATTCAGGGGGGCTAATAATTCTGCTTTTGACTGTATATATACGAAGTCAGAATTATTCGCCCCCCTTTGAAATTTTATTTTCTTGTTTAAATATTTCTCAAATGATGTTGAACAGATTCAGGAAATGTTCACAGTATGTCTGATAATATTTTTTCTTCTGGAGAAAGTCTTATTTGTTTTATTCGGCTAGAATAAAAGCAGTTTTATTTATTTATTTTTTAACATTTTAAGGTCAATATTATTAGCCCCTTTAAGCTACTTTTTTCAATAGTCTACCGAAGAAACCAGCATTAAACAATAACTTGCCTAATTACTCTAACCTGCCTAGTTAATAAGATAAGATAACATTTAGTAAAATGAATTGAATATGCATTCAGTAGAGTTCACAGTGAAGCGCTCATAAAGATCAAAATCTTCCATCTAGAGATGATGTATTTCTAGGACACTTGTGTGTGTGTGTGTGTGTGTGTGTAATGATTAATGATGTTTCTCTGGCTTTTTTTGTGTGTGTGTGTGTGTGTGTGTCAGCTGGATCAGGTGTTGTTCGGTGACGGTCGTGTGTGTCTCAATCAGTGTACGGCGGAAGTGGCTCATTTCTCTCTGCAGTGGTGGACTGAACCAAACTCACTCAAACACACACACAATCCAGACGGTGAGTGAGCACACACACACACACACACACACACACACACACACACACACACACACACACACACACACACACACACACCAACATCAACTCTGTCTGCTCACTTCATTACAAAAAAATATCACAGCTTACATATACAGCTTAGGTCAGAATTCATTCACGAATGATTTTTGTTGTTGTTCAAATGTTTCCCAAATGATGTTGAACAGATTCAGGAATTGTTCGCAGTATTTCCTCTAATATTTTTTCTTCTGGAGAAACTCTTGTTTGTTTTCTTTCAGCTAGAATAAAAGCAGTTTTTCATTAAAAAACTATTTAAGGTCAACATTATTAGCCCCTTAAGCTATATTTGTTATGAGTAGGTCCACACAGAATCTGCAAGCGCAGAATTCTGCTGACTTTTAGCCCATCATTGATTCTGTTTATCTACTTGTGTGTAAATTCATATTTATTCAGTTTTTAAATTAATCAATATTATTATTGCGAATATGTTTTATTTACAATACAGTTTGTATAGTAATATTTTCTGTCTTTTAGTAGAGATATTATATGAGACTTGCTTTGTTTACCAAATATAGTAGATCTAATTTAATTTGCATTGTAAACATTAAATACAAGTTAAAAAGGGTTATTTTTTAAGTTATAAAGGGTTTTATTTCATATATTATTAAGGTTTTAGATATAATTCTCCCAAAATAAATCAGCTTAAATCCTCAGATTTCTACCAAATTCTGCACAGAAATAGCAAAAAATATCCGCAGATTCCGTCTGGCCCTAGTTATAAGCAATTATGTGTTGCTTTACTTAATTGTATAAATAATAAATGAACTTTGGTGTCACGGTAGCACGATTGCAACCCAGGCTCATTCTAAAAAACGTAGTCCCACGGACGTTCCCTGGAGGTACGTATTTTTTTGCAGATTTTGTTTCCGCGAGAGGCCGCTGTGTGCGCTTTTTCGCTTCTCAAATGTCTCTTGCGAGTGCCGTTCGCGTCCGCGCTGTTCTCGTGTAAACCCACAAGAGGTCGTGTCGAATGACCGTCTGTCTGACTGACTGACTGAATGATTGACTGGGCGACTGGCCAATCGACTGACCCACCCTCCTCCTTCCCTAAACCCAACCTATTTTACCGATTGACCCGCCCACCCACTTACTTCCCTAAACCCAACTGACTATTAACAAAAGCCGTCCAGAAAAAGAAAAACCCTGGTCTGATTTGACCACGTTTTTGGATTTTACTAAATTCTCACCCGGTTGTTCAGTCGTTCGCTTTATTTTTTGGATTCTGTTTTTGTCTTACCTGATTTCTGGAACCGCTCTTTCCCGGACTCGAACCCGGTCGTCGTCGTCATGGTCAGCTCCTCTCTGCATACACGTCGAGCTAACTGGACAAACTGCTTGCGGCAGGAAAGCCCTCCACACGGAGGTAAGCGGTCAGCCAAAGTGCCAAAAGGAGCGCCGTCACACGGCTCCATAGCAATCGCTTAAATAATGAAATGCAGCCATACGTACCTCCGACTACATAATTCGCAGTCTCCAAAAACGTTCACCGGACTACGTTTTCAGAATGAGCCTGGTTTGCAAGATTGCCTCATAGCAAGAAGGTCACTGGTTTGAGTTCCAACTGGGTCAGTTGGCATTGTTCTCCTCGTGTTGGCGTGGGTTTCCTCCAGGTGCTCTGGTTTCCCATACAGTCCAAACACATGCACTACAGGTGAAATGGGTAGGCTAAATTGGCCGTAGTGTTTGTGTGCAAATGCAAGAGTTTATGTTGGGTTGCGGCTGGAAGGGCATCCGCTGTGTAAAACATATGCTGGTTAAGTTGGAGGTTCATTCTGCTGTGGTGACCCCTGATTAATAAAGGGACTAAGCTGAAAAGAAAATGAATGAATGAATGAATTCTGATGTTGATGATTGATTAGCATGTGTTTCAGTATCTCTCCTCTCCTTTCTTCAGGTTATTCTCGTTTAATGGCTGAACTCTCGTCTCCATCTTTCGTCGGCGCCGACTCCTTCTATGTGCGTGTGAACCTTGACCTCAGTTCCCATGGGGATCCGCCGTGTCTCTGTGTCCAGTGTGATGATGTGCTGCACGTCACCGACACGCGATACAACGGGAAATACCAGTGGCGCTGCGCTCGCGTGGACAAACACACGGGGGCGCCACTGCAGACTGGAGCTGTGCCGAACTATAACAGGTGCATCACACACATACCACACACGCACACACACACACACACGCACACACACACACACACACACACACACACGCACGCACGCACGCACACATAGACTTCAACAGGCACATCACACACAAACACACACAATTGAAACACTTGACAATGTTAAAGGTGTTCTTCTGGTTCAGGGCTCAGCAGCTGCTGTTGGTGAGGCTGCGCACAATGGCCATTGAACAGAATCAGTACAGGATGAAGGTGACTGTTGATAGCTGTCTGTCTTTCTGTTTGTCTGTCTGTCTGTCAGTCTTTATGTCTCTGTGTATCTATCTATTTTCTATCTGTTTGTCTGTCTGTGTCTGTCTGTTGTTCTTCCTCTCTGTCTGTCTCTGTTTTTTTTGTCTGTCTGTTGTTCTTCTTGTCTGTCTGTGTTTCTGTTTCTGTCTGTCTGTCTGTCTGTTGTTCGATCTGTCTGTCTGTCTGTCTGTCTGTTGTTCCGTCTGTCTGTTGTTCGTTCTGTCTGTGTTTGTCTATTGTTCTGTCGTTCTTTCTGTCTGTCTGTCTAACTGTTTGTTGTTCTGTCTATCTGTAGCTCTTTCTCTCTGTCTGTCTGTCTGTTGTTCTTTCTGTCTGTCTGTCTAACTGTTTGTTGTTCTGTCTATCTGTAGCTCTTTCTCTCTGTCTGTCTGTCTGTTGTTTTTTCTGTCTGTCTCTGTTGTTTTTTCTGTCTGTCTGTCTGTCTGTATCTCTTGTTGTCTGTTGTTATTTCTGTCTGTCTGTCTGTCTGTCTGTATCTCTGTTTGTCTGTTGTTATTTCTGTCTGTCTGTCTGTATCTCTTGTTGTCTGTTGTTATTTCTGTCTGTCTGTCTGTCTGTATCTCTTGTTGTCTGTTGTTATTTCTGTCTGTCTGTCTGTCTGTATCTCTGTTTGTCTGTTGTTATTTCTGTCTGTCTGTCTGTCTGTATCTCTGTTTGTCTGTTGTTATTTCTGTCTGTCTGTCTGTCTGTATCTCTGTTTGTCTGTTGTTCTTTCTGTCTGTATGTCTTTTTGTCTGTCTGTTGTTCCTTCTGTGTGACTGTCTGTGTGTCTATCTGCCTTTCTGTCAGTTGTTCTTTCTGTCTGTCTATTGTTCTGTCTGTCTGTTGTTTTGTCTGTCTTTGTCTGTCTGTCTGTTGTTCCTTCTGTCTGTCTGTCTGTCTGTCTGTCTGTCTGTCTGTCTGTTGTTCTGTCTGTCTGTCTTTTGTTTTTTCTGTCTGTCTGTCTGTTCTTCTGCCTGTTGTCTTTCTGTCTGTCTGTCTGTTGTTCTGTCTGTTGTTCTGTCTTTCTGCCTGTCTGTATGTTGTTCCTTCTGTCTGTCTGTCTGTTGTTCTGTCTGTCTGTCTTTTGTTTTTTCTGTCTGTCTGTTCTTCTGCCTGTTGTCTTTCTGTCTGTCTGCCTGCCTGTCTGTTGTTCTTTCTGTCTGTCCATGTTTCTGTCTGATTGTTTTTTTTCTGTCTGTCTCTCTGTCTGTGTTTCTGTCTGTCTGTCTGTCCATCTGTCTTTGTGTCTGTTTGTTTTTATGTCTGTCTGACGATCTGTCACTCTTTCTTGTTTGTCTGTCTGAATATCTGTGTGTTGTTTTTCCTGTTTGTCTGTCTGTCTGTGTTTCTGTCTGTTGTTCTGTCTGTCTGCCTCTGTCTGTTTTTCTGGTTGTCAGTCTTTCTGTTTGTCTGTGTTTCTGTCTCTTGTCTGTCTGTATGCCTGTCTATCTCTGTCAATCTTTCTGTCTGTTTTTCCGTCTCTTTCTCTCTGTTTTTCTTTTTGTTTGTCTTTCTTTCTAGCCTGTAATTACTGTCTGTCTGTTATCAATCTGTGTGTAATTATTATTTGTCTGTTTGCTTCTCTGTCAATACACATTTCTGCTCACATACCTGTCTGTCTTTACCTGTCTGATATACCCGTCTGTCTGTCTGTTGTTATGTGTCTCTGGATCTGTCTGTAGGTACCCATTTATTTGTGTTTGTCTGTGATAACCCTCTGACAGTCTCTGGCTGCAGAGAGATGTCTGTATGTCTCACAGATACTGAGTTGTGTGCTTTCTGTCTGTCTGGATACCTCGTCTGTTTGTCATTTTGCCTGTAGATACACATTCATTTGTTAATATTTGTCTGTCTCTCTCTCACACGTTGTTGTTTTGTGTCTGTAGTTCAGCAGGAAAAACCCAGAGCGTGTTCGGCTCATTAAAGCCGTCGCGTCAGACTATCGCTCCATTGGCTCATCCAATCCAGTGCTCTACACACTCAGCAACCGTAAGCCCCGCCCACTTATGCATTCATCCAATCAGAGAGAATATCCTGTGTGTGTCTGTGTATACCTGTTTTTGTGACTTATCAGGACACAAATGTGTATAATGATAGGGGTATGACACAGGTATTAGAGGAAGGTATTGGATTATGAGGAAATTACTGATCAAGAATCATCCTACAGAAAGTAAAACTGCTATTTACTTTGAGGGATGGGATTAGAGATATGGTTGGGGGGAGGGCCATTGAAAATACAGTTTGTACAGTATTAAAACTATGTAATGTCCTCATAATTCACAAAAACGAGGCTTTGTGTGCAGGTCATGAGGAGCAGCTGATCCCATTCAGTCTGGTTCAGATGGTTGAGGTCTCCAGCAAGCGTCCGGTGGTGTTTTCTCCGTCTCTGCTGTCTTGCGGGATCATCGAGCGGCTAATGCAGCCTGCCGAATCCGGCCAGGACTTCGACATCTGCCATCCAGGTACAGCTCCGCTAATATAGGACAGCAAAACTCATACAGCTGCTGGAAATCCTTGACAACACTTGAATTTTAATCGAGGGTTTTCAAGGTTTGAAAAGGGCATAGAGTAGCACGGTGGCTCAGTGGGTAGCACTGTGGCCTCACAGCAAGAAGGTCACTGGTTCGAGTCTCGGCTGGGTCTGTTGGCTTTTTTGTGCGGAGTTTGCATGTTGGCGTCACGGTGGCGCAGTGAGTAGCACTATTGCTTTAAAGCAAGAAGGTCACTTTTTCAAGCCTCATCTGGGTCAGTTGGCATTTCTGTGTGGAGTTTGCATGTTCTCCCCGTGTTGCCGCGGGTTTCCTCTGGGTACTCCGGTTTCCCCCACAACTCCAAAGGCATGTGCTTTAGGTAAATTGGGTAGGCTAAATTGTCCGTAGTTCATGTGTGTGAATGAGAGTGTATGGATGTTTCCCAGTGATGGGTTGCAGCTGGAAGGGCATCCGCTGTGTAAGACATATGCTGGATAAGTTGCTCTTTCATTCCACTGTGACGACCCCTGATTAATAAAGAGACTAAGCCGAAAAGAAAATGAATGAATGGGTTTGCATGTTCTCCCCGTGTTGGCGTGGGTTTCCTTCGGGTCCAAACACATGCGCTATAGGTGAATTGGATGAACCAAATTGACTGTTGTGAATGTAGTATATTTACTGTATCTTGGCCTCTTGATGATGAATCGCTTGTGGTATCCCTCTCTTTTTAGATTCAAGCATCTGCTAAATAATTAAATTTAAATAAAATAGTCATGAAGTATTGAATAATGCTAAAATATCTCTACATTTTCAGATGGAATTTGTACTATCGGCTTCTAAAATCTTTGCTTTTTCAAACAGATAATAATAGCTATACAGTTTGCGGTAATACTGAACAATTTTACACTATTTGGCAACGCACTGTCGTATTTAACAAAAAAATGGTTCTAGATGAAAAAGCTGTCTATTTCTGACCTATTTTCCTCATTTCTGGCTTAGTTGGAAAATATGGATGTTTATTTGTGTTTTTGTCACGATGCGGTGATGAGACGAGGACAAAAGGTAGGATTCAAGTGCAATTTTAATTATATAGTCTTCGTGAAGTCTTACAAGGTATCAAATAAACAAGAGAAACTCATACAAGACTTGGGCTTTGGAACATCAATACAACAAAACGTCCCATGGTTACATTCATTCTTCCATGGCGGGGCGCCACACCAAAATGCATCCCGCCACGGCTACATTCCAGCTTCCCATTCAAAACATTCAGTCATTGTTGTTGTTGTTGTTTTTAATAGTGGGTTATAATCGCACCAAAAGGCATTAAAAGGTTAGTGAATTTAACAGAGCAAATTTTTTTGTAATTGTAGTCGTGCTGTTGTAACCCTGCCGGTCCTACGCTACCCAACCCGCTCCGAGCTGGTATCAAACCAGCGACCTTCCGCATAGGAGTCGGGTGCTCTACCAAGGAGGCTAAAGACCATGACCTCTAGCATTTGTCGCCAGAGCACCTTTAGAGGTCAGAGGAGTGAGGTTTACCTGCACAGCACACACTAGCTGGCCTCCGTTACACTGTCACGGTTTGTTGACAAGGACGGAGACAACAAGGGGTCCGTTCTTCGTACGTGGATTACTCAGTTAGCTGGATTTGGATGTTGACGATTTGACACGATCCAGGATCGTTTCGTTCTTCAAAGCTGATCCGAGAGTTGTTGTCATGGCAACAGATCTGCTAGGTCAAACCTGATCGGGAGCAGGCTCAATTCATATAAACAGGATTAGATTGGCTCAGTTCAAGCAAAGATAATACAGAAAGTATGTACCGAGTTCTGATATTTTCTTACAGTAAAAGTTATATACACTTGGGAAAATAGTAAATATTTTTTAACTATATATATAAAAGTTATAGTTATTAATAAAATAAATAAAGTTATACATATTAATAAAACTTATGCAATCTGCACCCTCGAAATGAAAGTACAAAGACTGCCACCTGGTGTTGCAAAGAGAAAACTTATTGATATGAACTTTTTAGATCGCTTTAGTACAAATTGTGTACAATAGAATTGCACAATATGTGACTTTTTTTTAAAAGCAATAATACATTTATGCAGTCATAAACATGTTTTGGCAGTTAATATGCCAGTGATTTGATGCTTCACAAAAGTTGCAGACGCCTTTAACAATATCAAAATGCTTTTGGAAACAACCAGTTATTCTTTACACCGATTAAAAAACGGTTACTATAATAAAGAAAATCTTTTCTAAATGAAGAACTAAATACATTGATTTGCATTGAAATACATGATGAATACTCTTGTCTTGACAAATGAAAGTGTAAAGCCTGCAGCTCACAACAAATGTGAAGTTACTGCGTGTCATATTTAACAAGCCGTTTACTGCTAATTTTATGTAAATTTGCTCACATGGATAATTGAATATTAATCAGATGATGTCATTACGCTGCTGTGCCGTCAGCCAATCGTTGCATTGCTGATCATGATTTCGAGGATCGATAGATCTGTCCTTCACAACAAACGCAGCGATCTCAGATCAGTTCATCCAGATATTCTAATCTGATTCGCGAACTTGTTTGAAGAACCAAATTAGCGAGAGATCAGTTATCAAGATTAAAATATCCAGGATCTGCCAAATCATCTTAGATCATTTAAGCGAGGTACGAAGAACGGACCCAAGGTGTAGATCCAAATGCAGTTTGATGATGGTAATGTGCGGTGACAGAAAGATCAAGAAATCCAAAAATCAAAGTGACAAAATAACAAGAAATAAACAAAACAAGGAACTATGACAGATAACTACAAACAAGACTCAAGGACTATGGCAGGATACAAGAAACTTCTCAGAACAACATACCAAACACGACGAACTAACAAACAATGGAGAAATAGCTGTATATGTAGTCCAAGAAATCAACAGGAAAACGGAGACAGCTGTGTATTGCAAATCAGTATAGATGGAAGACCGGGTGTGTGCTCGAAGGAATGGATGGACTTGTAGTTCTTGGCAGCTGTATTTCACCCTCTGAGTTCATCTCGAACTCATCTCGAACCTCTGGTGGACACATACAGACATGACAGTGCTGTGAGTTATTTGTTTAACTCCTACGTAAATTGCGGTTGGTCTGAAAACTGATCCAATTGGTCCACCGTTTTTATGTTAATAAATTGAAAAAGGACTGGGTGTGTTTATTTCCCCAATATGACGGCATATACAGCAAGGTATCTGTACTTTTACTCAAGTATGGTTTTCAGGTACTCTTTACACCTCTGATGGAAATGGAGTCCGCTGTGTGCAAAGCGTAATTTAGGAAGTCGTAGTTCGTTAAAGGTCTGTGGTTCATGTGCGATCTTTCCCAACATGGATCTCTGGCTGTCATGACAGTTTTATTTGCTACTGCTGTACTTCCCTCATATATTTATTTTATACTGTTACAGCCCAATATGTGCTACTTTTCTAAACAATGTTATCTTATTTATCTCATTACTACTATTTGGGTTTCTGCTACAGTTTAGTTTGTTATATTTACTTTAATTCCTATTGTAGTTTCTGTCCTAAATACTGTTTTTTGATGCAGGAATTCGTAAAAATTGTACTGTTTAATTAAGAGAGGAAAAACTCATTCTGTTTTCTGCTGATCGATTGGAACAATAGACACCTTACACTCTTTATATTTGATAATGCCAGTTATTATTGATATAATATTGATAATTTAATAACTCTCTGACTGATATGTTTTTTTTTCTAAAAGTCTGGATGCTCTTACCTCTTCATGATGTCAGGAATTATTCACGTTTTATGAATCGTTGTTGTTGTACAGAGCAACTGGAGAATGCCGTGCGCCAGGATAAAAGTGTGTTCCTCTTGGACTCCACTGATCAGCCACTGGGAATCAAAATACAGAGTATTCAAGAGGTTATTAAGCAGGTATATAACACACAGACACACACACATATATACACACAGAGTCATATCTATGCTTAAACCATGTGTGTTTTCAGGACAAACACTGCCTGCTTCAGCTGGGCTTGAATCATGTGGAGAATCTCCTGAAGCAGAGCATCTATCCCATAATAATCCACATCAAACCCAAAGACAAGAAGGGACGCAAGTTCAGGTGTGCAGTTATTAATGTTATTATTTTTTAGGGGTGTAATGATATTTGAATGAAGCAGAAAAACACCCCAGCAAGCACTTTTTTATGTTTAATAATGTCTATTAGACATCTAAGCACAAACGTATTGGCTAAAACAAGGATTGGGCTGTCCGTGAAATATCTAAAAGATGTCTAAGAATAGCTCAAAATTATAGGTCCCTTTAAATATAAAAAAACTAAATAGAAATGTGTAAACTAAACTAAAACTAAGCTATAATGAACAGCAGATTTTAAAATCTTCAGAGGCATCCCAGTGCTGGTGTGTCTTAATTTCCCCTGTATGTGTGTGTGTTTGTTTCAGGAAGCTGTTGTCAGGCCACAGAGAGGAGGACCTGATGGAGGCCAGTCAGATGGAGGAGCTGCAGCTGGAGACTCTTCCTCTGATGTTCAGTGCGGTGGAGCCCAATACATGGAACAGCACAGACGAGCTGCTGGCTGTCATACGCAGCACCATCCTCAGCCAGCAGAGGGCGGTGGTGTGGCTGGAGCAGGAGCGACTCTAGTACACACACACACACACACACACACACACGGTTTCTCTCCACTTTAAGGCCCTGTTCACAAACACGGGTATTTTCAAAACGGCACTTTTTTTCTACATGGTTTCTCCATTTGTCCATGCGAAATTAAATCAAGTATCCTATCAAAAGAAGTAGTTCAGTAGTTCAACAAGTTGAGTTATAGAAACTGCATCTGTGCGCACAGAAAAACAATGGTAATAACAAGAGGGAAATAAGTGAAATGATTGGTGTAGGAGAGGACATTTTTGTGCCTTTCTTTCTTTTCTTTCTTTCCCTTTATTTATAGAGCATTTTCACACAACCTATCCAAAGTGCTGTAAAATCAGCAAAGAACCAAAAGGTATGAGAGTTAAACCAAGAATCACTGCCATAACAATAGTGTTACGACCACAAATGTCTAGGGCTGAGGTTGAACATAAAAGTTAAAGAAAATAAATAAATAAACAGTTAACAGGTTTATGATTTAAATGACCTTAAAGAGATCTTCAGCATTTACATGAGTGGCTGCAAGACAATCATTTGACTATTAATGTTAAGAAAACAGAGTGTGTGTACTTTTATTCACCTAGGAGAAAATTATCTTTTATTTTATTTTCTTGTCGGCTTAGTCCCTTTAATAATCTGGGGTCGCCACAGTGCAATGAACCGCCAACTTATCCAGCAAGTTTTTACGCAGCGGATGCCCCTCCAGCCACAACCCATCTCTGGGAAACATTCACATACACTCATTCACACACACACACACACTCATACACCATGGACAATTTAGCCTACCCAATTCACCTGTACCACGTCTTTGGACTGTGGGGGAAACCGGAGCAACTGGAGGAAACCCACGCAACTGCAGGGAGAACATGCAAACTCCACACAGAAACGCCAACTGAGCCGAGGCTCGAATCAGCGACCTTCTTGCCGTGAGGCGAACGTGCTACCCACTGCGTCGCCTCTCCTCACTTTCCATTGTACCCACATATCAATATTCAGGAATCAGTCTAGACTCTCAACTCTCTTATTGTAACCATGTGCAAAATGTTTATAAAAAGCTGAAACAAAAGTTATTTGTTTATGGCAAAATTAGGACAAATTTGTCTTCTTCTGTTTCAGAAACTTATCTGCATGCCATAATCTTGTCTACCTTGTCTTACGGTTTGCCTGTTTGGTCTCTCACAACAAACGATATCTTGGAGCCAATAGCTAGACTGTACAATAGGGCCTATAAGATCCACAACAGACTTTCTGGATGGACACATCACTGTTTTGCTCCATCACTTTCTAAAGCTTTAACATTTCAAAACTACATTATGAACACGGGTATTAAACTGTACTATCAAATTTAAAATAGCGCTACCTCAGCAGCCCTTTGTGCTTTGGTACCAAAACTCAACACAAGGACTGATCGTTCCACCAGATCTGTAACAAATGGATGTTTGCCAGTACCGGCTTTTAAACATTGTTATGGACAGAGATCTTTCTGTTTTCACAAAAGTCTGGAATGAGATCCCACATCATCTCAAAACAATACCAACACTGAGACTGTTTAAAAAAATGCCATGCTCGTCTTCTGATGGTCAACTATCGCTGTAGCCACTGAGATAGTAGCCTGCTTTTCTCTATTTTATATGATTGGTGATTGTTTGTACTGTGTTGATGGATGAGATGTCTGTCATTTTATTTTCTGAAGAGCAGGAGAGAAGGGTCTGAATGCAGACCTGGTGCAGTGCAATCTGAGCTGCATCCAATCCTTTTTATGAGCTCACCTAACCCCACCCCTAACCATCACAGTGACATCACTCACTCCATTTGAGTGCATTGTGTCTGACATTGCATCGCTGAGTGATGCAATCTCAGCTTGCATCATAAAGGCTGCATCCAGATACTATTGGAGCAGGAACCTGCTGAAAAACAGCATTCATACGGGGTCAGACTCGATTATCTTTTAATCTTTTCCTGTTTAATCATTATAAATAAATAAATAAAGGTTATTTTATTGTGAGAAGGCGAAAAAAAAGTTTTTATTTACAAGAAAACAAAGAATGAGCACTAACACCCCATTCACATGGGGCGTCAGTGTCAACGCTTCCCATTCACTTTAAATGGGTGACGTCAGGCGTTGTCTAACTGCATTGCAGATCCGTTGGCACCGCTTCAGAGGCATTGCTCGCTGCAGAAGTTGGAACTAGCTCAATTTTTCAAGCGCTGACAGAAGCGTCAGCCAATCAGATCGCTGTATCAAATACACCAGCTCTGACAGTGGCCTATTGCTGACTGAATTTCATTGGCTGACGCTTCTATGATGATCGCTTCAGCCCCAACTTCAGACACGCCTTCAGTCAAGCGTTGACGCTGAAACCCCGTGTGAATGGGGCGTAACAAAAATAGCTTCAGGACTGAGCAAGGCCAAAATAATAAACAATACATCAGCTAACTCCAACCCGAAGATAACTCACCCACTGAACCAACAGAAATGCAGAAAATGAATTACAAATACCCTTACTCCTTAACTAAACCAAAAACAGGAGAAAAGGTCAGTTCACAGTAAATGGTTCAGCTTTCAGACTTTTTTATACAATGTATACGTGTGTGACAGTCACAACAAGGAGGGGAAAGGAAAAAGGTGGAGAGCCCCTTAAAGTTCACAATTTAAGATCAAGAAGAAAAGCACTACAACAGGCTTTAAACAAGAACGGCACATTCTTTGAAAGCTCTCCGTCTCTCCTCCTGCGATCTGACTCCATCAGTCTCCTTTTCAAAAGAGACGCAACACGTCCAATTAAGGCAGAGCGACCTGGAAACAGGAGCGGGACAGAAAGAGAGAGAGAAAAAGAGAGACACACACAGCGGCACAGAAACAACCAACCAATACGCTCTAGCATAACAATAAGTACAAAATGTGTATCCTCACAGTCTGGTGCTCAATGAAGTACTGGATCATGTCAAATTTGTAGTGGACATGCCCGCGCTAGTGGTTGTTGCTAGAAATAAGAACCAAATTGTATTCAATTTAAATTACTCATTACAATGTGTGTTACTTATATTTACACCTACCACAACCCTAAACCCAACCTCACAGTTATTAACATCTATACCAACCCTAAGCACAACATAAAAGTTATTAACGTCTACACCAAACTCAAATCTAAAACCAACTGCACAGTTATTAAGGACTACACCATCCCCAACCCTCAGTTATTAACATCTACACAATCCTAAACCCAAGCCCACGAATATTAACATGTACACCTACCCCATCCCTAAACCTACCCATCAGTTATTAATGCTTAAACCTACTCCAACTCTAAACCTCACAGTTTTAAAGGACTACACCAACCCCAACCCTCAGTTATTAACATCTACACCTACCCCAACCTCACAGTTTATGATGTCTACACCGACTACAACTCTAAATTTCACCTCACAGTTATGAACATCTACACCAAGGATCAATAAACTTGTTCCTCGAAGTCCATTGTCCTGCAGATTTTAGCTCCAACCCAAACACACCTGAACAAGCTAATCAAGGTCTTAAGCTGTGACACACTTGAGTTTGTGTGCAAAATTCTGTCGTACGGCGCTGCGAAGAGGGGCGGGATTAAACAAGATGATTAGATATTAAAAAATGCAAGCGATTGCTCCATGTTTTAAATTTCTGTTCAGAGAGGTCATGTTTTGATCCTTGATTGGTCTCACACAGTCAAGTGATGCGATTTCGCAAGTCAGAATTCACCAAGCTTGAACTTTGCACCGCAGCAACCTGCCAAACTTGACGCATGACCCTGCGTTACTGGTCTGACACATTCCCCAACGTCTATAGGGAGAAAAGTCAAGTGTGAGCGCAGCTTTACTAGGTATACTTGAAACACCCAGGCAGGCGTGTTGAGGCAAGTTGGAGCTAAACCCTGCAGGGCAACGGACGTCCAGGAACAAGAATGGTGATCCCTGAACTAACCTACCCCTACCCTAAAAATCAACCTCAGTTATTAACATCTAAACCTACCCAACCCTAAACCCAACCACAGTTATCAACGTCTCACCTACCTCAACCTTAAACCCAACCACACAGTCATTAGCGCCTACACCTACCCCAACCTCAACGTCATTACCATATACACCTACCCCAACCTCACAGTTATTGAGGTCTACAGGTCTACACCTCAATCTTAAACCCAACCTCACAATTATTAACATCTACACCTACCCTAACTCTGAACCCAACCACACAGTTATTAACATCTACTCCCACTTCAACCCTAAACCCAACCCTCACAGTTATTAATGTCTACACCAGGCGTGTCCAAACTCGGTGCTGTTGGGCAGATGTCCTGATTAAAATAGCTCCAACTTGCTTCAACACACCTGTCAGGATATTTCCAGTATATCTAGTAAGAGCTTGATTAGCTGGTTCGGGTGTGTTTGATTAGGGTTGGAGCTAAACTCTCCAGAACACCAGCCATGCAGGTACAAGTTTGGTCACCCCTGGTCTACAACTACCCCAACCCTAAACCCAACCACACAGTTATTAATGTCTAAATCCATCCACTCCAACCCTACCCTCAGTTATTAACATCTAGACCTACCCCAAACCCAATCTCACAGTTATTAACGTCTACACCTACCCCAAACCTCAGTTATTAATGTCTACGCCTTCCCCAATCCTAAACACAACCATCTATCCCAACAGTCACAGTAACATGGACATTACAGTGTCCACTACATATTGGACCTGATCCAGTGTCAACATGCTACAGACTGCAGCAAAGACATCTAGTTCTGATAGATGTTGGCAGATCGTCTCATAGAAAGACTTTATTACCTTTCCCATTTATTGTGCCTTTAATGTCAAAATCGGAATGCAAACAATTCTTAATGCTCGTGCATAATGCTTAAACTTCACATTTTTTTGGAGATGCTTTTCAGCATTCACACCCGGGCTACACAATACATCTCAAAATGATTATTATCACTATAATAGTATATACAATACATGTATTGCAGACATCTGTGATAAATAAAATTAGGCATTGGTTATCTAAATTTGACTAATCAGATGATGGCTTCCTATCTTTAGCCCCACCTCCACAACAGTTGCTTTTCTGCTATTGGCTAAAGTGACCCAACCTGAAATAAAAATTAATGGGCAGAGTCGAGAGGAAAGACGTAAAATGACAAAAGACAATTAAATTCAAATATCTGCTATGATCACTCAATCATAGTGTTTTTAAAGACTAACACCACACAGTTTTTTTTTTGTCTGAATTAGAATGTTTAGAAAAAAATATTGTTTATTTTAATATCATTAAATAAATAAGATTAAATACATGAAAATAGCATGTCTAGGGAAATTAATACGCTAAGAAATGTTATAGCAATACTCAACATGACACATATTTTCCCAGTATTGTGCACCCCTTGTTCATACCCAAGCG